GGAGGAGGAGGAGGAGGAGGAAAAGGACTGTGGGGTCCCTGGTGCTGTCTGACCTGGGTGGCTTTTTTACAGACGTTTCGTGACCAAACCGGGGAACAGCATCAGTGCTACAAGGGAGGGGGGATTGTGGAGAGGAGGAGGAGGAAAAGGAAGGGGAAGGGGAAGAGGGGGGGAAGGAATGAATGAAGGGGGGAAGAGGGAGAGGAGGGGGAGGACTGTGGGGTCCTGGGTGCCCTCTGAGCTTGGTGATTTTCTTGCAGAAGTTTCATGACCCAATCAGATAACATCATCAGTGCTAGAAGGGGTGGGGTTTGTGGGGAGGAGGAGGAGGAGGAGGAGGAGGAGGAGACAACTGTGGGGTCCTCGGTGCTCTCTGAGCTTCACTGTTTTCTTGCACACATTTCATGACCCAACTAGGGAACATCATCAGTGCTAGAAGGGAGGGGGGTTTGTGGGGGGGAGGAGGAGGAGGAGGACAGTGGGGTCCTTGGTGCTCTCTAAGCTTGGCTGTTTTCTTGCAGACGTTTCGTGACCCAAGTAGGGAACATCATCAGTGCTAGAAGGGAGTGTAGAGAGGGAGAAGAGGAGGAGGAAGACGACTGTGGGATCCTCAGTGCTCTCTGAGCTGCATAGTTTTCTTGCAGACGTTTCATGACCCAACTAGGTAACATCATCTGTGCTACAAGGGAGGGAGATTTGTGGAGAGGGAGAGGAGGAGGAGGAGGAGGACTGTGGGGTCCTTGGTGCTCTCCAAGCTTGTTTTTTTGCAGAAGTTTCATGACCCAAGTAGGGAACATAATCAGTGCTAGAAGGGAGGGGGGTTTGTGGAGAGGGGGGGAGGAGGAGGAGGAAGAGGAGGAGAAGGAAGAGGAGGAGGAGGAGAATGGAGTCCTTGGTGCTCTCCTGGTTGTTTTCTTGCAGACGTTTCATGACTCAACTAGGGAACATCATCAGTGTTAGTATTGACCATGTTACCTAGTTTAAGCAATGAAACACCTGCAGGAAAACCACCCTGTTCAGAGAGCACCAAGGACCCCAACCCCGGGAGGCCAGCCATTCCAACGATTCATTGTTCTCCCTGTCAGGAAATTCCTCCTTAGTTCCAGATTGGTTTTTTCCTAGAGGACCTGACAAGGCCAGGCCAGCACGGAGGGAACTTTACGCTTAGGTGAAAGCAGGGCATCGCTTGAGAAGGGTACTGGAAAGTGTAAGTGTGTAAGTGTGTGTGTGTGTGTGTGTGTGTGTGCTGAGCTTCTGAAATGTGGGATATCTCCCGTTCCCAGATATAAGACCCCCCAGCCCGAGCCCCAGGTATGTCCCCAGAGATGGGGGACCCCCAGCCCGAGCCAAGCTGCTACCTGCTGCACGTGAAGCAGACTTTGACCGGCAAGGGAACCAGGCCGTTATGGTCCAGCTCGTGTTGTGCTTTCTTGACGTTCTTCCCGGAGGTCTCTTCCTTTCTTCTCCGCTTGCTAGTACCTGGCAGGGCAGAACAGGAAGTGAAACAGAGTCGCTCTGGGAGTGGGGTGGGTGGTCTCTAAATGTGATATACTACAAACACACACACACACACACACACACACAGAGGGAAAGAGGGAAGGAGACAGGATAGATGACCAGTGATAGATCTCTAAATTTGATGCACACAAGCATACAGACACATTAGAATAGAATAGAATAGAATAGAATAGAATAGAATAGAATAGAATAGAATAGAATAGAATAGAATAGAATAGAATAGAATAGAAAATAGGGAATAGAATAGAATAGAGAATAGAACAGAATAAAGAAGAGAAGAGAATAAAGAATAGAATATAGGGAATAGGAATAGAATAGAGTAGAGTAGAATAGAGAATAGAACAGAATAAAGAATAGAACAGAATTAGAAAATGAATAGAATAGAATAGAGTAAAGTAGAATAGAGAATAGAACAGAATAAAGAATAGAATAGAATAGAATAGAATCTGGAAGGGACCTTGGAGGTCTTCTAGTTCAGCCCCCTGCTCAAGCAGGAGAACCTATACCACTCAAACACATTTCAACCTAAACCATTTCAGACAAGTGACTGTCCAGTCTCTTCTTAAAATAAATAGATGATAGGTAGGTAGACTGATGATATAGAGCTATAGCTCTTTAAATTTGATACACACAGGGAGATATAGAGATGGATGCCTAAATAATACACGCAAACACTCCCCCTAGTGGATAGATGATTTAAATTTGAGAAATATAAACATACATATACACACGGGGCGAGGGAAAAATACATGACAGACGATAGATCTCTAAATTTGATACACACAGGACGCAGACCCAGAAATAGGATAGATAGATAGATGATAGATAGATAGATAGATAGATAGATAGATAGATAGATAGATAGATAGATAGATAGACAGACAGACAGACAGACAGACAGACAGACAGACAGACAGATGATAGATAGATAGATAGATAGATAGATAGATAGATAGACAGACAGACAGACAGACAGACAGACAGACAGACAGACAGACAGACAGTAAGGAAGGTAGGTAGGTAAGTAGGTAGGTAGGTAGGTAGACTGATAATACAGAGTTACAGATCTCTAAATTTGATACACACAAACACACCCAGATGACAGATGATAGACAGACAGACAGTAAGGTAGGTAGGTAGGTAGGCTGATAATACAGAGATACATATCTCTAAATCTGATACACACAAACACACACAGTTGACAGATGATAGACAGTAAGGTAGGCAGGTAGGCTGATAATACAGAGGTACATATCTCTAAATTTGATACACACAAACACACCCAGATGACAGACAGACCGACAGGGCTAGGCAGGTATTGGGGATCTGAAGGGGGAAAATCTCTCCACGCTCACCCTTCAAGGGCAGGGGTGGGCAACTCTGGCCCCTTCGTGACCTTTACGCCCTGGGGACTTCCACTTCCAGAATGCTGGGAGTTGAAGTCCGCAGGTCGTCCGGGGGGCCACCGTCGCCCACCCCTGCTCAAGCAAGGAGACCCCCCCTGGCTTGGCTCCACCAACAACCCTGCTCCCTGGTCCAGCCAAGCGGAGACCCAGCCAGGGCGTCCCTTTGGGCCTTGCCCAGTGTCAGGGCGGGCACAGCCCCCTCCTTGCAAAGGGGTTGCCACGCCAAGTGCCGCCGTGGACTCACCTGGCAGGGCCGTGGTGCAGGTGAGCTCGTTGGGCAGCTGGAACTGGGTGGGGTTCCTCTCCATGGCGGCCGCGATGAGCAGCTCGAAGGGCCGCTTCAGGTGGGGCTGCCCCCCCTCGGCTTCCCCCCCGGGGGCCGAGTCCTCGTCCACGTCGATGATGTCCTCGTCCACGTCGTTCTGCTCCGAGTTGGGGGTGTCAGTGCTGGTGTTGGAGGTGGGGGTGCCGGGCCGGCTGGCTCTGCGCTCCAAGAGCCGGGCGTGGGGGAGGGTCCGGAGGGTCCCGCCACCCGCCCGGTCCAGGTAGTCGGCGTCGCTGGTGGGAGACGAGGTCCTCTTGCCGGACTTGTCCACCAAGCCGTTCATGTGACCCAGCTCCTTCTTCTGCTCTCTCTTCTGCAAGACACAAAGCAGCCCTCAAGTCTTCCCACGGGAGCCCGTGTGTGTTTGTGCGTGTGCGTGAGAGAGAGTGAGTGAAAGAGAGAGAGAAAGAGAAAGAAAGAAAAAAAGAAAAAGAGAGAGGGCGGGTGGGAGGGAGAGAAAGAGAAAGAGAGAGGGAGAGAAAGACAGAGAGAAAGAGAGAAAGACAAAGAAAGAGAAAGAGACAGAGAGAAAGACACAGAAAGAGAGGGGGGGAGAGAGACAGAAAGAGAGAGGGAGAGAAAGTGAAAGAAAGAAAGAAAGAAAGAAAGAAAGGAAGGAAGGAAGGAAGGAAAGAAAGAAAGAAAGAAAGAAAGAAAGAAAGGGAGAGAGAGAGAGAGAGAGAGAGGGAGGGAGGGAGGGAGGGAGAAAGACACACAGAAAGAGAGGGAGGGAGAAAGAGAGAGACACAGAGAGAAGGAGAAAGATAAAGAGAAAAAAAGAGAAAGACAGAGATGGAGAGAGAAAGTCAGAGAGAGAGGGACAGAGAAAGAGAGGGAGAGAGAAGACAGAGAGAGGGGAAATGACATAGAGAGAGGGAGAGAGAGACATAAAGAGGAGAAAGACAGAGAGAGAGAAAAAGAGGGAAAGACAGACACAGAGAGAGAGGGAGAAAGAGAGAAAGACAGAGAGAAAGAGGGAGAGAGAAAGATACACAGAGAGGGGAAGAGAGAGAGAGAGAGAAACACACAGAGAGAGGGAGAAAGAGAGAAGGAGAGAGAGAAAGATACAGAGAGAGAGAAGGGGGAGAGGGAGAAAGAGAGAAGAAGAGAGAAAGACAGAGAGAGAGGGAGAAAGAGAGAGGGAAAGAGAGAGAGAGAGACAGAGAGAGGGAGAGAGCTGCCAAGCATCTGAATTTTGATCACGTGGCCCTGGGGATGCTACAAGGGTCGTATGTGTGAAAAATGGTCATAAGTCTCCTTTTTCAGTTGCAACTTTGAATGGTCACTAAATAAACTGTTGTCAGTCAAGGACCGCCCTTATAGGAGCACCTCGACTTATAACCGTTTGCTTAGTGACCGTCTGACGTTGCAGTGGCACTGCCTTTTTCACCCTCCTTCCTCCCATCCAAGCAGTCGTGTGTGTGTGTGTGTGTCCAAAATCATCTTTACCTTCCGGCGCACGGTGCAGCGGTGGCACATCCATTCCCCGGGAGGCAGCATCTCCTCGCTCAACGGAGGGTTGCTGTGGGAGGAGACAAGAAGCACAAGTGAGTTGCGCGCACATTCTGGAACCCTTAACAACGGGCGCTGCGACTCGACACATCCCCAGGCGACAAGGGCCTGCCGGAACTGGAGGGCGCCTGACTGCCTCTGCGTCCCGCTTTCATCGCAAAACTTCGGGGATTGCCCTCCTTTGCCCGGGAGATAGGAAGTCTCTCCATCTATTTTTTTTAAAAAAAAACTTTATTTATTTATTGTTATCCAGCCTTTTTTTTTTTTTACACAAGTAATGCAAGGCTGCGAACATATCCAACATGAAGAGTTGGGACGAGGGGGGACATGATAGCAGTGTTCCAATATCTCAGGGGCTGCCCCAAAGAAGAGGGAGTCAAGCTATTCTCCAAAGCCCCTGAAGGCAGGACAAGAAGCAACGGATGGAAACTCATCCAGGAGAGAAGCAACCTGGAACTAAGGAGAAACTTCCTGACAATGAGAACAATTAACCAGTGGAACTACCTGCCTCCAGAAGCGGTGAATGCTCCAACACTGGAAGTCTTTAAGAAGAGACTGGACAGCCCTTTGTCCGAAATGGTATAGGGGTTTCCTGCCTGAGCAGGGGGTTGGACTAGATGACCTCCAAGGTCCCTTCCAACTTTACTATTATTACTATTATTAGTATTATTATTAACATACCTCTCCTCCTCCTCCTATTTTCCCCACAACAACAACCCTGTGAGGTGGGCTGGGCATGGCTGGGAGAGAGAGAGGGATTGGCCCAAAGACACCCAGCTGACTTTTGTAGCTAAGGCGGGACTAGAACTCACCCTCTCCTGGTGATTGGCCCAAAGGCACCCAGCTGGCTTTTGTGACTAAGGCGGGACTAGAACTCACCCTCTCCTGGTGATTGGCCCAAAGGAACCCAGCTGGCTTTTGTGGATAAGGCGGGACTAGAACTCACCCTCTCCTAGTGACTGGCCCAAAGTCACCCAGCTGGCTTTTGTAGCTAAGGCAGGATTAGAATTAAAACTATTTCTATGGCAGACCATAGAAATGGACTGGAAGCGACCCTCCACCCCCCTTGTCTGCCAGACCCCAAAGCATGCTGCTCCTTCTGTTTAAAATCAGGAGGCAGAAAAGCCAGCAGCCATTTTGAGAGCCCAGCTCAGGAATCAGGGAAGCGGATATGACCAACAACCACAAGAGCATTGTGAAAAACCCACACAGCGACCGCAACGAAGGAGCCACCGCTGGGGAAAGCTGGGGGGGGTGGGAAATAGAGGTCGATTCGCTTAGCTTCCTGATTCCCCCCATGTCAAGTTTCAGGGGTAATTAAAACAGCTCAGAGAGGAAATCAAGTAAAATTATTACCTGAATTATAGATTATAGAAATCAACAGTTAGCGAACGTTTCTTAAATGTCAACCCAGACAACACACCGTTTACCGAATATTAAGGTGATTATGTTAAAAAAAAATAATAAAACATTTTAAAAAATAATAATAAAACAGTTCACCCCAAATCCAGAACACGGCAGAGAAGGGTTAGCTGATTTATTTTCTTTTTAAATGGGGTGGTTTTTCTTCTTTCTATAAATATTTTACTGAGTTTTATAAGGGTATAGTAGTAGTAGTAGTAGTAGTAGTAGTAGTAGTAGTAGTAGTAGTAGTAGTAGTAGTAGTAGTAGTAGTAAAGTTGGAAGGGACCTTGGAGGTCACCTAGTCCAACCCCCTGCTCAGGCAGGAAACCCTAGACCATTTTAGACAAATGGCTGTCCAGTCTCTTCTTAATAAAGGAATAGGGTCAAAAAGGATAAGACAAAGGGCAACATACAAAAAGGTTAGACCAGGGAAAAGGGATAACACAAAAGTAGGATTAATCCCACAAAAATAACATCGCTTCAGCAAGTCTACCAGTCCAGATATACATATTAAATCTTAATAATTACTCTATTATTAAACAACTTTCAATAGAATCATGTAAATAACAAATTAATCAATAAATCTCATTCATTTCACTACTTAACAATGCTTAATACTAATTAATTATAATAACTTTAAGATAATATATTACATATTAATTATAATTTACCATATTGTTTAAAATCACAAGTATGGAAAGAGGAAGAAAAAGAAAAAAAAAGAACAAGTTCATACAAATAATGAAATATAAATACAAATTATCAATTATCTTTTTAAATTTCATAACCTTTTCTCATTCTATCGTGTTTCTAACCAATAGTAAATTTTTTCCCATGTTTTAAAGTAAATTGTATCTTCTTTCTCTTTCATTTCTAAAGTTAACCTATCCATTTCTGCACATTCAAGTATTTTTGTTATTATAGTCTGATCAGATGGTAAGGTTTCATTTTTTCCAAAATTTAGCAAATATGCAGTCACCACAATCCCAATTAACACCTGGCCTTCTAATTAGAAGAACTTTCAGGAAAACAGGCGCAAAGTAAAACCTGAAGTGGGATATTGCTAGCAACGCTATTTCATTGATCAGCTGGAAGACATCCAGGGGGGGAAAAAATGTAGGGCGTACGCCAGTGTTTCTCAACCTTGACAATTTTAAGGCATGTGGACTTCAACTCCCAGAATTCCACAGCCAGCAATGCTGGCTGTGGAATTCTGGGAGTTGAAGTCCACATGCCTTAAAATTGTCAAGGTTGAGAAACACTGGCGTACGCAGAGTGCTACTAAGACTTTATTCACTCCTCTCTGAAGCTGAGCTGCTTTTTACACATGGTTTTTGGTAGAGTCCACCTCTGTGGCCCAAAGTGAACGTTTTCAAGCCTGGGACAAAAAGGCACCCAAAGCTGCCGTGCTGTCCGTTGAAAAGAGAATTTTAACAGGAGGCAACATCCAAGGTCCTGCAAAACTGCACAAAGAGCTTTCCAGGATTGTTAACGCACTTGGCTGTTTCCTTCCAGGAAGAAGAGTACGTTGCTGCTACTATCGTAGTTGTTAAGATTTAAGGCCCCGAGGGCAGGGAGTGACGTCTGCCAGTTGCACCATGTTGTTACAGGATGTGGGATGCATTCTGCAAATTTGTCACACAGACAAAAAAAAAAAAAAAGGAGAGAACTTCCTAAATCTGCCTGATTATGAATCACTTACAGCAAGGAGTCCAACCTTGGGAACTTTTAAGAGCTGTGGACTTCAACTCCCAGAATTCCACAGCCAGCAGGGAGTTAATAACTTTGATTGAAGGGCACACCCTTCCCTGAGCTACAGGGCTAGGAGTCAAGTCAATGTTTATTACAGTCAAAGGCCCAGAGCAAGTTTAAAAACACTCCAGGAATGTCCAGTTAAAAATCCTAGAGTAAAATAATAAATAGCAGATAAAAATCTATGTTAAAACCACAATTTGGCATCCAATCTGTCAGCTGCACACCGTCAAACCATAGCATAGCCCAGGGGTCTTCCAACTTGGCCCTTTGATGACTTGTGGACTTCAACTCCCAGAATTCCTCAGCCAGGCACGTGTGCCTGGCTGAGGAATTCTGGGAGTTGAAGTCCACAAGTCATCGAAGGGCCATGTTGGAAGATCCCTGTCTTAAAGCATCCTGACTGAGGAATTCTGGGAGTTAGTCCACAAGTCATCAAAGGGCCAAGTTGGAAGACCCCTGTCTTAAAGCATCCTGGCTGAGGAATTCTGGGAGTTGAAGTCCACAAGTCATCGAAGGGCCAAGTTGGAAGACCCCTGTCTTAAAGCATCCTGGCTGAGGAATTCTGGGAGTTGAAGTCCACAAGTCATCAAAGGGCCAAGTTGGAAGACCCCTGTCTTAAAGCATCCTGGCTGAGGAATTCTGGGAGTTGAAGTCCACAAGTCATCAAAGGGCCAAGTTGGAAGACCCCTGTCTTAAAGCATCCTGGCTGAGGAATTCTGGGAGTTGAAGTCCACAAGTCATCAAAGGGGCCAAGTTTGGAGACCCCTGGCATAGCCTAACTATTATACAATATCTGTGAGGCCCCTTAGTCATTAAATACTAAAATGCAAGAGAGGGATAATGCAAAAGGTTTGCTGCATTCATGGTGCAAAATAGCTACGAGGGATTAATCACCTATTTCCCAGGAATCCCCAGGGCTGCTGCGCTGGGGAATTCTGGGAGTTGAAGTCCACAGGTCTTAACGTTCCCAAGGTTGGATGCCCCCAACTTACAGCCTTTTAAGACGCTCAGAACTACGTTGGTTTTCCTGCAAAAAACAGACCCACTTGCTGTTTTCCTGGGGGGGGGGGACACATAAGCAAGTCAACACCCCCAAACTCATTCCTCCCACACCCCACATGGACAAACCTGACATTCCCTAACCCCTGACCCGCACCCTGGACCCTGTGCCCAAATCCTTCCGGGGTGAAAACATCTTTGGCTAGCTGTCCAGCCAGGCTCCACTGCCAGTGGGGAGAAGCCCAACACTGGAGGGGGGGGCAAGGGCTGCCCCCAGGCATTTTTCTCCAGCTTTTGGGTGGAACTAGAGACAGACAGAGAAGGGCTGTCTTTCCTACGATTGATGGGCAGAAAATAGCTCCCTCCCAGCTACACAGCAGAGCATTTTGGGAGGGTCCTGCCGAGTGGAGGAACATCCACAGAAGAGAATACACGTCCTTGACTTATAACCATTTGTTTAGGGACGATTGGAAGTTACAACGGGACGTAGGACAAAAACTGCCTTGACCAGTGTTTCTCAACCTTGACAATTTTAAGGCATGTGGACTTCAACTCCCAGAATTCCACAGCCAGCAATGCTGGCTGTGGAATTCTGGGAGTTGAAGTCCACATGCCTTAAAATTGTCAAGGTTGAGAAACACTGGCCTTGACTTACGTGACTGATAACCGTTTTCCACCCTTAGGACCTTTGCAGCGTCCCGGGGGGTCACGTGATCAAATTTCGGCCGTTTGGCAACTGACTCGTACTTACGACCGTTTCCAGGGTCCCGGGGTCATGTGATTCCCTTCTGCGACCTTCCGACGAGCAAAGTCAATGGGGAGAGCCTGATTCACTGAACCACCATATTTCTA